GATAGCTGTGAACTGGTTTTTGATTTGTGTAGGACAAAAAAACCAAACTATCTAACAGTCATTCTATTAGTTCCCCCTTTTATTGTTTTTCATCAAATACCCCGAAAAAAACATGTCCACTAGGAAATGAAAGTAAGAAATGACCACATGTCGGAACATCTTTTCAAGTATTCCTCGGACAACTGGTCCTACGATTTTCTCATACTTGGGTATTCGCAAACCAGTACCCATGGCCAAGTCATTGGGTATTATTTTATCCACATTCGAAATGCTTTGCACGATTATTGCAGAATTCTCATGCTCTCTTATGAGCTCATTACTCGTTCGAATATCCGAGTTCATAGCTGTACGCTTCCTAACTCGGAAGAAAGCAATTTTCAGCCATTTTCCAGGCGTTTGCATGTATGAATGACGTATTCTTTTCATAGAATATGAGTGAAAAACTTTTTGCGACTTGTATTTTCAAGGCCTGCCCGTGCTGAAACCCATCGTGCATTGTGCCGAACGCTAAGGAGGCGCTTGGAGCAGTTCCAATCAGTCCGCATTCAAGGCCTTCAAGGGACAGATACCTAACAGACAACATCCAATGCGGAATCTGCAAGATGATTTCACTTTATGCACAACGTCCGCTTCAATCACGAGATTAGGTCTGGAATCCCCCAAGAATAGGATTTTAGGCCAGCTTCTGCCCACAAACAGCACTCCTCAGTATGGAAAAACAATGCTTGAGACTATCTTGAGCCCTAATCGAAAGAAAGCAATGAATGCTTGCACATCTATTGAACAAAAAACTATAGAAGGGAGTCTTTGTGAGACACAGACGTACTCCCGACGTACTCGGCACGTTGTCAGTAGCGAAAGTGCAAGTTTTTCAAGCAGATGCAATTTCTATGGAGTTATTGTGCCAGAAATTCCTATTTTCACGGAGTAGTGCGGCATCTGCTGGGAAACAGGGGTACTGCACTGGGCACGCTAGGGATTTCTAAATGGTGGGAGGGGTAGAGGTGTCGCATTCTAATTGTGAGGATGTTTTGAGGATGTATGTCGTGTTTGGCCTGCCCGTTCCCCCACTTGCGTTTTGAGCTCTCTAAATTCCATACGATTGATTGGTACCAGAAGTGTTTAGCACCAAGCAAAGCTCCTGTTTAATAACGACTTATCAGGAGATAGGTAAGAAGAGAAAAACAATCTTCTACACGATTGTCTCGGAATGTTTATCCATCCCTTCGAGGTTGCTTAATTAGTGCCAGATTTGTTTGGCACTAACAAGTTCCATAATACACTGACCTCTATGTGCATTGGCTGGGCCCCGCAATTCACTTTATACGAAAAATCGCATCCAAAATGCTATTAAGATTCTGAATGGGAGTTGTATTCGTAGCGCATTCCAAAATGGGAACTGATCAGCGCCGTATGCTTTATCCTTTTATCCCAGGCCATGTCATGCGTTGGGAATCTCCAGCGAGGCGATGTTAGGTCGGCGGCCTGGAAGGAGAGGCGCATTCGACAGCAAATTTTTCGGGAAAAACCGCGGAACTTGAAAAAACCATGGAAGAAGTCCGAACAATGGCAAAAAGTTGGGAAAATTGGGGAAGATGGTGGGTGGGGAGGATTTTTCGAGGGGCTAGCGTTTCACGAAATCCCCCCCCCTTCCCCTATTAGCAGGACATGCTCTGCCCATAAAACGCCCTTCACCATTAAATACATCTCTGCAGTCGCAATTTACTACATAAAGTGCTGAGTCGCAAAGCATGTAAGCGCTTCGCAGGACATATAGCCCTCTGCATACGAAGGTTAAGGGAAATTCGAGGCTGTTGGAAGGAAGATAGGACCCCAAAAACTCGACTGTTACTTGATCCTGTCTGAATGAAAAAATCCATTTAGGTGTGATGGCAACGTAAATTCGACATTCTCCGAAACTGCTGCTGTATAAACCATAATTCTCTTTATCGCAGGGCGCTCGCGGGTTAGTTAGAGGAAAAAAATGGATCAGTTAATTAGGTAAGTCGCAGTCCGTAAATGATGTGCTGGAAGATAAACGGTGAGTTCTCCCTTTTTCCTTCTTTTATTGATTTTCTCTTTTCATTAAGACCGCAGTATCAGGCTTTTGGGAACCCGAAGATATCACGGTCATACATATTCAAGGGTACTCTTGTTCCAAACCTTGACCAGTCCTTTTCGCCCAAGTTCCTTTACTATATAGACAACTTCGTAGCAGTAAAAGGAGATGCATTACACTGTAATCATTTCCGCCTTTTTCCAAAAGAAAGTTCTGTCTGACGAAAAGAAGAATTTGAAAATCGATGCGATCCTTGATAATTAGGTAACCACGGTGCGTGTCCTTTTCACGATCTAATTGCTATTGACATGTTAAGAGACGCCATGCGACTCGTCATACAAGTAAAACAACTCTTCCAAGTCACTCAATTCTAATTTTCCCAACTAACCATAAGTAGCCGCTTTGATTGAGAAGTAAGAGCATCGACGCCCACGTTTATAGCTTTATGTACGCACTCACTCACGAAAATCCAGCAGGTCAGTGGTTCGGACGAGTTATCCGACTTGGAGCACATATTGCTATGAAACTCAGTAAGGCTGTATATATAATAGATAGTTCTGAGTGGTGTCATCGCTCGCTCCATTTTCTAGTCAGCTGAGTTGATGGACGCAAACAGAGAACTGGCACGCAGCACTGCTCCTGAGTAGGTCAGGTCCTGGTGCGAATGCGTTCGTACGTGGGTATGTGATAAAACAACCCTATTTCGCGACGTTGGCTGGTGTCGAGTGCGACGTCGCGCCTGCAAATGGCGATGGATGGACCTGGGACGCGACGGAAGACCGTTTTGACAGTCTCCCTTCGTACGTAACCCCGCTTACAACGCCTCCCAGGTCAACTAGCAAGGAAAAACTCCGTCACTGCCCGCGATGCCGCGACTCACAACTATGATGCGAATCCCGGTAACCCACCAATCGTAGTAACAATTTGAAAAGGGCAGGAATTTCAGGTTTTAACCTGACAGATCACCGGTAATTTCGTCCCGACCCACGGCTGAAATCGTGGTCACCATAAGACCTCACAAATGTTTTCGACAGCTACATGAATAAGGCGAACTGGAAAAGTACCGCAACTATTGGAACCAGTTGGCATAATAAGTTCCCAAGAAGCGTAGGATTTATACGCCCAGCAGGAATTGCGCGCCCCTAGGCAGGCGCTGCGCAGGAGGTGCCCTTATAACTCCCTACAACCTACTGAACCGGACGCTCATCGCGTCCGCCCGCCCACAAACGGACGACTGCACCTGGGGGTATGTGACAAGAGGATCGTAATTTGCCGCGCTGCTGGGCGTCGCGTGCGACGTCCCGCCCGCAAAGGACGATGGTTTCAGGCAGTAGATGGCGACAACATGCAATTAAGGACCGAAAACAGTAATGAGTGTCTACGATGACGGGGTCTACATGAAGTCCGGTGCTCCATTCGACAGGTTAAAACGAGTTATGAAAACGCCGCGCCCATCGCCGCGCGTGGCGGTGCGGCGAATTACGATCCTCTTTACCGTCTCCCCTGCATCTGGTGCTAGTATTGCTTCATTTGCGAAGTAAAATATGAAGCGAAGGGATGACATGAAGCGGCTGTGGTGCTGCATGGATATATGAGTACATATACCAGCCGTACCTACCGCAGCAATTATTGGTAAGATGCCTACGGGAAAATCGACAGAAATAAAGAACAATTTGACTCATTGAGAACGAAGGCCTTTCTTCGCAAATTTTTGACCGTTTCACTTCGTTTTTTTTTGCCATTTTCCGACTATATAGCACCCTGCTAGCATTTTAGACCAATTGCCAAATTATTGTGCCATACGCCTTATTCTTATGCCTTTAATGTTGTAATCCTCAAGATGCAAGCTGGCTGCAAAAAGAGATAGGGCTTCCTTGCAGAGAAACGCATGTTTCAATCTAGAACACCTGATTAATCACTATGAAAAACACCGGGCTTCCTAAACAGCTGAAACGGATTGTTGTATACATCACATTCTTTGTTCCCCTCGGATCGAATCACCGGGTCTGATGAAGCTCAGCGGAATTCAATTTCCGGCACAACCGCACAAATAGACACAGTATAGTAAGATATGGGTGGTGGGAGATATCCCAACCTAATCGCGTTTTCGGAGGACATTTGCCCAAGGAAAAAAACATTCAACAGATCAACATAGCTAATGAGTAAGTCAGAGAAGTGATAGAATGCTAGGATGAGAAGAATATCTAACGAACCCTCCTTGAATGATGATTAGTACACAAAAAAAGACGAAGAAAAAAAGATTTTTGCACTATTCAACCATTACTATCCCAGTCTACCTAGAACAAGCCAGTTTTTTATTGACTTTTTTTCTTTGGGGCAGAAAACTGGCTGAAAATTTGGTTCCAGGGCCAATTCGACCTCCTCAACACCAGTGTCGCATTCGTTCGGCCTAGAAGTGCCAAGCGCGCGCGTAACAGCCGCCGGCGCTAGGCCCCAAATCACCACGTTTGCTGAAAACGTGTCCCAAGGGGTAGTCCTCTTGAGCACGAATCACATCCGCTCCGCAAGAAAGTGCCTGGCGCACGCCCTACAGGTGCCAGCGCTAAGATACCCTAGATCACCAAATTTGCTTGAAACTTGTGTACTGGAGTTATTTGACATCTTGATCACAAACATTCAATCTTGGCACTGGCGTCAAGGTAACCCACTACCATTTGCGCTCTGCTAAGACCGAGCCTGACCTGAAGTACATAACTCGTTCTTTCAGGCACATCCTTAGCAGAGCGCTAAGTGGCGCTGGCGTCGAAAATGAATGCTATATTAGTGATCTCGGCACCAAACAACCCTTATGCAAGCTTTTGCGGTTTAGTTTCTTTTTAGTTTTTTTTTTAGCAAAAAAAAGGAGTGGCGCCAAATTTGCACTCAGTGTCCCCAATAAGCGCCGGGGCTAAAACTGACGGTCACGTGATTATACTACCGAATAACCCCGTATGTTCTAACCAATTTTGTTGAGAGAATGGGGTGATGCAAAATCAGCGCCCCATGGCGCTAAATGGCGCCAGCATCAAAAACGAATGTTACACTCGCGATCACGACATCGGATTACACTCACGTGCAGAAATTCAAAAAAATTCTCGAAATTTTGGAGTAGTAATAGTTGAATAGTGCCATGATTTTAAGTGAAATATCACATACCTGGTCAGGATTCCTCATTGCCCTTATGATTTTATAACCTGTGTTAAATACTGTAACAATTGTGGGCAGAAATACAAGAACGAGCAATGTCATGCTGTATGCTGATGTGGCAGACCAGTCAAGTACGCATAACTGAGCTTCTTCCAGAAAAACTACCTGAACACAAATTTATCTACCACTGATTTCGTCCTATATGGTAAAGTTGCAACTGTGCAATAACGAACGTATTTCGCAGAAATTTCATTTTACTTTTTACTCGTCATGTTGCAACGTATGAAGAAGCCCCTAAGTGTACCCGTTTGGCAATATCCGTTGCTTTGTCTCCCACAAGCAATTCGCTAATACGTGTAGCCTGCCCGCAGGAAATCGATGCTGGGCCTGCATCACGTCACTCCCCAGAGAGCCAAGGGAGGAAGGACAAGAGAACGCACATACATACGCGTTTTACGCACAATCCACCATACACATCTTTGGTCGCCCCATCAAACTACTTGATCGCACTCAACTGATTCAAACGACAGCACGACACTTACTACTACTTACTATTAGGCTTGCGGGGGAGTTCTGTCACACTTTTTCCAACTCAAAGTACTTACTTTTTCCAACTCAAAATACTTGCCCATTACCTGAAGAGGGGTAACCGGTAATGTGAGCACTTATACATCAAGGAGTGGTCTTTCTATTAGTACTTGACTCCTGCTTCTTCTTCTTCTTCTGCAATATGGACAAGGATTTTATCCGCTACCATCGGCACCGACCCCTCCAAGCGCTTCCTCAAACTCTTTCTTCCACCACCCTGACGCCAACAGCCATGATGCAAGATTGCCAAAATAAAGGAGTTGAATGAGGACGATACCCTCAATTATAGGACAACCTTCCACGACGCTAATGCTTCAAAGCGGGAGCCTACAGTTTTGATGACGAAGTGAGGTTTGGGTTACCTGTGAACTCAGATTGAGGGAGCTGCGGGTCGTGAAAGTGCTGGATGAAGAAGCTTCTTCTTCGGTCAATGCGTACGCAAAGCAGCTACGAGATCTAAAGCGTACCGTCGATCAGAGGGAAAAATTTGTCCGCACAGCCCGCCCTCATCATGATAGTGCAGCGCACTCCGTCCAAAAAAGTTCGAGCCGTACCTCATGCAATAGAGCTGGATGGCTCTCCCCTTGCACTGGTGTAGCACAGACATTGCTCCTTCTAACTGCGAGTTGCTTCCCGTACTCAACCGTTATATGGACGAGAAAACCTTCCATAACCCGAGTTCAAGTCAAGATTGAGATGGTGTCCAACTTTGCGCTCCATCGCATTGTGAAGCGATGGCATCCATGAGGTGCTCAAAAACTGGCAAGAACCCCGCAGTAACATTGCTGTACAATGTTGATCTTACACGCCTCTCTATGAGAACAGAGCCTAATTTGAAAAATGTAACAGAACTTCCTCGGGCAACCTAATATATAAAAAGAAGGCGGTAGTACTATATGCCGGGCCGCTTTGATGCGATTACAGAACTTTTGCCAACCGGATATTCTCTCACTGGAAGGGTCTAGGAGTGCTTTCTCATCGCGTTATCTGGCTCAGGGATTTGATGGAAGAGAAATCAGGAAGAGGGAAGAGAGAAAGAATTAAATAAAAAAAGGAAGTAGGACGCGTCATCTGGCTGAGCATTTGAGGGGAGTGAAGTAAGAAAAGAGGAGATAGAAGAAGAAAGGAGGAAGAAAGGAAGGGGAAGCTAGGCTTCGCGGTTGGAGATATACTGCACCATACGGTAATTTGAGCAGGCAACCAAACCATTACCGTGTCCAAAAACGTCGTAATATAAATAGTGATGCGCACATACACCTGGATTATTCTAGATACCGTATTCCACGGCCATATCTATCTATATCTAGAATGCCAGGTATGAATAACGAAGGGTACGATTTGTTTATGGAGATTGTGATTTCGGGGAGGGGGGGGGGGAGAAATTGGTGCATTCTGCTATAGAAAAAGCCCTAATAATACACTTCTTATCCCTGAGCCAGAGTAGGCGTGGCATTTGAACATGGCACGGAACTGGTTACTCGTGGAATATTCCAGTCTGGGACAACTGTCATCTTGTTCTGTGTTGGACAGAGACACGACAACAATTGTGTCAAGATGAAAATATCTCACCAGAAGCATAGACACCTTCAGGTTAAGTTGAAGCATGCAGCCACGCCTACCCGATCTCAGGGATTTCGAGTATACAGTATGGGGGGGGGGTTAGTGCAAAATGCAAAAAACGCTTATCAACCAGGAGTGAATGCCTCACCTAGTTGGTCGGGGAGGAGGGATAGGTTGAACACCTGCACACAAATATCACATCCACTCACTTGGAAATCAGAAATTTCGAGCATTTCTTTCTACTTTTAATCAATTTCGCCGTCTTGCTGGCATGGCGCTTTACTCTGCCACAACTCATCAACATCACTTCGAAATGGTGAACATCACACATTTCGCCACCCATCCGTGTTTTATTTCAGCTATTTTTTATTAAAAGCGTAGCATGCTCTATGGTCTGCTCGTCAAAGTTGAAGTGACGGCATTTCTGGATATGGTTGTGCTATCACTTTGTCAAAATCACGGCAAAAAATTTTTCTAGCGCGCATAGCCTTACGCTCAGCTAGGGCTGCCGTGCACGACGATGAGGCCTATTGCCTGAGTTTCAAGGGGGAAGAAGCTCCTAGGTGGATAAATCAATGTGTAGTACAAGAATTCTATCGGATGACGTTAACCCAGACCGGGCAATTCTTCATGTGATGAGAAAGTACATTTTTGAAATCAGAAAAATACATCTCTTCATAGAAGTCATTCGTCATATTATTGACTACTCGAGAAGAATATGAAAAAAGAATATGAAATTATGTGGGAATACACGCCTAACGAATGGGTTCACACCAGCTTTGTAGATGCAGTTTTTACTTGAAAGAACGAAACGAAAGACGGAAACACCGAAACGCTTATTGAGCTTTGCTATCGCTCGCTAACACGTTCCGGAGCGCGTGACACACATGGTGTGTCATGATTTCGTCTCTACGCAGTGCTTTATTTTATTAATTTGGCTTTCATTCATGTTTTGAAGTTGTCAAAATGCGTTCTCAATAAGGGAAGATACCTACCTCCTCAACTGTTGAAAAAAAGGGGGGGGGGAATTACTGATGAATTAGTTATGAAAAAGAATGAAATAATTCCGAAATGCGGACACTGCGGCCGGTCCGCAATGTGTCAAAGGCAAACTGTACACTCCTATTTGAAACTCCTGGTCTCAGCCCTGTGCGACAGAAATGAGTGCCCAGTTGCAGGAGCATGCCAGATTCATAGCTCAAAGCTACACGGAAACGAGGCTAGAGGCAGATAGTGACACCCGGATGCCGTTTATGGACTCCGCTCGCATTGCCGAGCGACTACACGCTTAACCATAGCCGAACGCGCTATTTGTCTGCGCCCTCTCTCCTGTATTTCTCTACCTCTCACTGCGTGCTCAATGCGGGATCTTGCTATTGAAGCCGTACTGCACCTTGAGGATACGGCAAAGGCTGTCCGGAACCGCCCGGATATCACTACCCTTCAGCCCCATTACAGAGCACTCTCGACTGACGAAAGCGTTATACTTGTGCAGCTGCCGGCTCACCTCGCACATAGCAAGGATGTTCCTCGGGGGTGTGTGTGCGGTTTGACTTTAAGCGTGAGGGGCGGGTTTGAGTCCCATGTTCTGCGATGATAAGTGCTGTGTAAAGACCTCCCACAGCCTCATGGGTGGATCACTTCGCCCACTCCAATGTCCCATGGGACCGTGGGAGGTCTTTACACAGCACTTATCACCACAGAACGAGTTCAGAAAAAGCATCTATCCAAACTCATAAGTTAAGGAATACCGGAGTGGGCGCTGACCTACCCATAGCTCCTTTCTTCTCGGAAGTCTCTATCCCTTGGCTCGCTATTGTTTTTATTTCGCTTGTCAAAGATTAAAAATTAATGTAGCGTAACATGAAAAAAGGGAAGAAATGTTGTTCAAGTGAAGCTCAAAACGAGAACCCCTTTGTGCAGAAGTTCGTCGTTCGACGATCACGGTAATACGACGAACTAATGCACCAAAAAACCCGTTTTAGCGCCCGAAAAGAACGTTATCACTAAAAATGAGAGGTCCCATGTGTCTATGAAATCACCTTCAAGAAAGAACATTGACAGTTGCATTACATATGTAGCATATTCGGATATGCATTAAAATGCAAACGCGTAATAATTTATTCATTTAATTATTAAATAAGGATTACATTTCACTAGCACACTCGCAAGAGTGCATGTTTTTGGTGAATTTTCACGTAGAAACGCGCATATTTCGGCTCGCCAACGCATCTGCAGGGATTTTTAACTGGTAATCTCAATGAAATGGGGGAATAATACCTACATTTATTGAAAAATCAAAAAATGGACAGCATTTCAAACATAATTTTCGGTTCAACGCAAAAAGGGGGATGCTGCCAATCAGACAAACTTTTTTTGAAAACAATTTTCATAAGAATTGTGTTGTGGTACTTTACCAAAACATCTTTGCTGAGTGAAAAACTAGCTATCTCACTAAGGTTTACATAAGTGAAGTTAGTTAGTTCACTAGTTTTCTGGCTGTCAGCTGTAAACGTGGAATGAGCTGTCTGCAAAATGATACGCACAGATTCATTAGGAGCTCCTCGCTTATGAACTGCCGTAGCAGGGCGCTTCCACCTTGTGTGAAAGTATTACTCACACTCACGGGTTCAAACTGTACCTTCGGGCACGTCTTCAGCAAACTAGGCGCTGGAAAGTGTTCTGCAGCTGGCGCTTGTGGCGCTAGCGTGAGCTGGTTTCGAGCAAAGAGAATGCGATATCTGCATTTCTTTTCCGACAGAATGTCCAATCTCCCTCCCTTCCCAAACTGCATGTTTAGAAGAACCACAGAACGTCAGAAGGCGCTCATTCTTGGCTTTTTTTGAAGTTCTGAGTATGGAAGCATGTCACTGACAACGAAAGAACCCCCCAAAGGGTGACCTTTCCGCAGTTTTCCCGTTTCACATGTGCGCTATCCATCCTCCCCCCCCCCCCGCTCGACAGCTCGATCATATCAGAGGGACTAAGGGGGGGGGGGGGGTTAACGTCAAGCCACCTCTGAGAGGGGGAGTGCTCACGGACTTGACCAAAATCCCAAACCATTGCTGTGCCCTGGAAGGAGCCACTGTAATCAAGGGTTTCTGGGCAATGTCCCCTCCCCCCTTCAACGGAGGAAAATAGGAAAGCAGAGAGCAGCGCTGGTGTCATAAGCCGGGCAATGTAGCCCCTTGAAACCACTGCAAACATCTCTCTTTCACTATATGATCAGAAAAGCTTTTGTCCATTCCTATAGGAAAGGGGAAAGGTGAATCGTTCCCCGCTTAACATTAAGAAATCCAGGTAATTGTGAGGAAATAAGAGCTCCCAGCCTTGGCCCATTTGAGCAAAGTGTGACTACACTAATCCGACGGGATATTGCACCAAATGTCGCACATGTTATACTACAACCGAGGCAACTTTGGCAAGCAACTACACAACCTATGTCCATTCTTCAAAACGAGAAAAAGAAGGATTTTGGCAGAGCCCATTAGCTGAGAGAACCACTGGAGAAAACTGCTCACCTGCATTTGTGCAACAACTATTGGACAGCACAACAGAAGAGAAGTAATCCAACTAAAGACAATCCAACATTTACACCGTGTAAGAGATTGATCCGCATATCGTGAAGGCTTCATCATTGCGGAATACCTATATAGTAAGAAGTCAACTATAGAAATATTTCAAAGAAAAGATTCACCACAAAACTATGTTGTAGAATCAAGCAGATCTCCGCTGGTAAAATTTAAGACCATCTAGACACTAACATTTGCATGCACTATACAATTATATTTAATGGTCCCCTCATTGAGGAAAAAGAGCTAGGCACTCATTAGAGCACGGAAATGTCCTTGATGCTCAAATTGTTCCATATTATGAAGGCTGAACGCTAGTCAGCCGGCTGAGGCAAATTCATTTTCCTATACGTTCCGCGAAACGACTTTCGAATAAGTGCGTAGAATTATTCTTCACAAAAATTAGGTAGTAAATATTGTGAACTTCGCTATAATAACTCAAATTCAACCTTCCAAATGATTTTTTATCATTTTTCATATGATCAAATCTCCTCATAACCATCCATTCCATTCCTCCGAGCGGAATAAACACAGCGTTAGAAATGCGGTATGAGGCCGATGAGAAAATACTATTCAGAGTGCCGTTGAAAACGGAATAAATCATGAAAGCGAGCCGAAAACGACCAACCAAGGTCCAGCCCGCCCAAGCCGGAAGTGGCAGCTGGGTGACTTGACTCATCTCATGAAATGACAAGAGTGAACATCTATGGAGAAATGATTATGATGATGATGGTGATCGCGTGAACCAGGCTAGAGCCACGATTAAATGCAGCCTGAATTAAATGGAGGGAGCCGTACTCTGTGACCGGCAGGGCTCCAAAACTCTCAGTGGCAAAGTGTACTGGGCAAGTGTACTGGGCATTTGTCCCGAGATTCTCTACAGCAGCGAGTACTGACCTATATGCAAGAACCACAAAAGGCTTCCAATCAGCTGCATTGAAGAAGTTGAGATAGCCGTGCGGCTGTACAGGACTGGGTAGAGTTAGAAACGAGGACGTCACAGTCACACAGACGGCTCCGATCCAGCTGAAGGCACGAGGAGCAGCGACTGCGATGGCATGGGCACGTACTGACGAGACCTGAGGAACACCTGATAAAGAAAGGGTTGGACTCGAAGTGAGCCCCGATGAAACGTGGATGGAGGGACGTCATCAATGGAGACACTTCACTGAAGTAAATGCCAGTAAATGCCATGGCAGAAGATGCATTGGATCGGAACAACTGCAACGTTTAGCAAGAACAGCGGACCCTGCCATGGCGCAGTACTATGGCCAGAGAGAAGAAGAGGACCACTTATCAATTAACGAACATGTCTCTTGGTCCAGATTTCATATTAACGGCTTTCCTCCCAGACCAAGCGAGACCACACCTGCGCAGACGTAATCTTTCTTTTTCGCCATAAAATACCAACTGCTTGGACCATTCACTATCGACATGCTTAAATTAGGTCCCAAATGGTGGAAATAAGTGAAAAAAAGAGACAAAACTTTTACTTTTACAGGCAGCTACTCAAGCTGTGCTCAGGCTTTTCAGGACCGCCTTTTCCGAAATAGGGATAATATTGAGAAAGCGAAATATATTCCAAGAACATAGGGAAAAGCTCAACACATTTCAACAACTACGGAAGCAAGATATGAAATTTACCACTTAACTTTTCGTTAATTTCAAGACCAGGTTTTTTTTCAATACTTCGTTCCTTTTTTAACGAGGTGTCACGCACATGGAGCTTTGATGACTATTTTTGTTGCCGGAACTTGGCCGTATTCATTTATCCACTTAACTACCGCAGTGCTTCGGCGAACAACGGCAATCAGGAAGCGATAGGAGCAAAGACTAAACCCAAATAGGGAAGTAAACCACAACATATTTCCTAGACAGTTGCACATCTTTGACAGTTTTAAGAACCAAAAACGTGGTGCAATTAGCGCAAATAATTACAACTTACAAAGTAATTGTCACAAAATCAAGTGACTCACTTGAAACCTATTCATATTTACAAAAAGAAGAGATTGTAAGTGAAGGTAAATAGAACACTTACCTATCGATACAAATCCATGCGAATGTGTAGACGGTGGAACAAAACAATGCGATTTGAAGATAGGCGCTACCCTTACAAACGAGGGAATTATCGCCCATAAATCGCCAAGTTGGATCCAACGTACTATACAAACTAAGCGGTACGATGAATAATGCTGCCAACAGATCCGCAACCGACAACGATATCTTAAATAGTTAGTAATAACATCAAAACTGTAGCAGCCACGTTCAAAATGCTTCCAACATGTAAAAAAAATCAAACACCGGACAACTATTTCTGTGGTGGTGTATATCATTAGCTATAGGCAAAAGAGTCTCTGCAAGAGGGACACGTAAGCGACATTCGCACCAAAACCAAGAGTTACAAGGTAACTGTCAACTGGATGCTCTCTCGCTGCGTGGGTCCAGAGGTGCTTTCCCATCGCATGTTCTGGTCCAGCACTTACAGGAAGGTAAATAAGAAAGAGGGACGCTAGAAAGAAGGAAAAAAAGACGCAAAGAGGAAGGAAAAAGTATGGAGGAGGAAGGCTTCAGTTGACAGATATCCTGAGACCCATAAGTCAATAAAACGTGACGGATTCGCATCGAGTCAACTAGCTAGGAAATACTTTGCTAGTTCGCCCGCTAACGAGTAACTAACAACTGGACCACCTGAATTAGTACGCATTAAGTCTCATTCGCTACTGGTAAGTGACAGCGAATTTCCCGTACCTACGATGAACCCTAGTCAAAGCTTCCTCCGTGTCACCTAGGATTACTGGGAGCTGCAGAAGGAACTAGGGGCATAATGCATGCTCATCCATAGGGTCAACATGGAGTGTAGTTGATGGGGGCCAGTTGGCTGCGCAACCAAGTGCGTTCCACTGCTCTTCCGGATCCAAGACCGCGTACAAGTGTCGGTCGTCCGCGTTTTACTAAGTATCACCATTGAGGAGAAGATCACTTCGTCACGACGCTGTATGGCCTCCATAAACTACAGTAGCGCCCAGAATACTAGCCCGCCCAAGTGACTATAAGAGAGAAACTGAAGATTATCTGTGATTAAATATTGCAATTAAGTCAGCGAACAGATTCTCAACATGGCTTCGTGATCAGATTTATTCCGCGAAACATGCGACTCCAAAGTGGTGATGCATGATTTTACGTGGCAATTACTAATCTATTATGAGCATCAGAGGCCGGCTGGTGTCTATGCATTCAACAACCCGGCGTCTCCACCCAGCTTTCGAAGCAAATCCCTCTCCTCTTCAAATGAACGTGAACTAGCATTAATATCGATGACTTCTCGTAAGATCAACGAGACGGTCATATTCCCAGCACCTGGCCTTCACTAACCCTCCTCAGACTACCGCAATTTTTTGTAAGTTCGAATGCATTGTGCTGTTTTTAGTACGTCAAGATAGTAATTCTAAGAAAAACTGGGCATTTATCAGTTAGATATCAAGGTTATGGTGATCAGAGATTCCATGAAAATCAAAAAGGAGTCGGCAAGGAAACAGGGCTAGACTATAACTGCTGGGTAATTGCAGACGGAAAGCACTTGAAAGCACTAGAAGGATTGTAGTAAGTGAGCCGCCTAGAAAAGCTCAATCTCCGTATAGATGTGTGAGAAAAAGGTGTTCATGACTCAACAGTACAATCTGGTTGATAAAATAGAACCACGTGGGAGAAAAAGGGGAAAGAAAGAGTTAACATTCACGACAAGATTACGATCCCGACGCAAACCCCGCGACGGCATATTGCGGACAGTAGCATTCAATAACAAACCTGGAGTCGCCAAGTGACTGTCCAGGGAAGATAAAGCTAAAAAATATCGTGGAGATCTTTCTAAAAAGACCCTTTGGCAGCCTCACTGTACGTGTTTTCGGGACCTACACGTTGTATGTATGCGAAGCGATCCTGCCGACTCGCTCTTTAGTAGTTTCTTCGCGTTGTTCAATCTCAATAGCCTTACGGTGGAAAAAAGGAAATCGTGGGGTAAACTGAACGCGTGAAAGAAATTAGCTCTTGAATTTATGGTGGGCGGTACAACTAGGGAGGCGTCAGAACTGCCACTTATGAGAGCCGCAGCGCCTTTAGTTACTGTGAAGCCGCGAAAAAGGGACAACAGTCCTAGATCAGACCGTCCCTTTTCCGCGGCTTCAGAGTAGGTAACGAAGGCGCTGTGACCCTTATAGTGGTAGAAAGACACAGCGGACCAGAGCCACTAGGGAAGAGGCCTCGAAGTGACTGAGAGCAGGGAATGTCCGAACTTCCAAATATGATAAAGTAGGAAAAACCAAACAGTACTTACCAAGTAACATCCGATCACGTCGTACAAGTCGGCAGTGGTGAATATGACGCATATATTGAGGAATGAAGTGCCAAGTAGAAGCACTTCCACAGCGACGACAACAGCGGCACGGGCCAGAGCCTCGGCGGTCAGCGAACGGCCGTCCAGCACGTCCCACATGTAAGCGAGTGCTTCTAGCGTGTCGTCGGCCAGAAACTGTCCCGATCATGAGGCAGTGGACCGCACTTGCACGATGGCAGATGGGGCTGTGCAGTGTGCGACGACGGCGACGACGACGACGTACGCCAACACTCGACGTCGACAACGAATCCGTACGCTCGCAATTCTTGCTAAAATCATAGACAATATGGTATGAGTACCTTATAAAGGTTTACAACCAGAACTTACCACGTAAAAACAGTGAATGATGCAGATCTAGTGAACTCTCCGAAACTCGTAGACTGTGAAGCGCCTTGGACGTAGCCACGCCCTGCCGCCCCGTGAATCGATACTCTGTCAAATAGATATTTGCGCACAATGTGCACAGCATTGGAGGATGAATGCCACCACTATTCCATAGATTCTCTATACACTGCGCTTTACGCTTTGTAATGAGAATGTTCATTTGATTACTGTACCAGAAAACAAGTTTACAGTTCCATTTTCTGGCTATTAACCCTTAAACACGGCTGCGCTAGAAATATGACTGTTGCCCGAATGATCTTCGGCCGCCTAATACATCACATGAAGGACAAAGGGGTAAATACTTGTTGTAACAAAGGGCTGTTCTCATAAGAGCCTCCCTCTATTCAGCCGTAAACAGACCTCTATAAATAATTCGTAATCTCACCTATCAGTGAGAACGAGAAGGTCCTTCTCGTAGTGACGTGTATTGTTGGAGAAGTACTTGGCCAGCCGTGTGAAGAGGTTTACGATGGGAAAGTTACGAAAAACTGATGCACAAGCTTTTACCTAATTGCCGTCAGAGCAGCGTCGACATCCACGTCATCGCATAAGCCATGTGAAGCCCTATCGATGAGCTAACACGGGCCGCCACCACACTCCCTTTGGTCTACGAGGGGCTTCCACTCTACAAATCTGAACAAATCATTCTCAGTAACATATACCCCCTATACCTGAAACGGAGTAGGCGTGGCATTTGAGCATATCATGGGTTACTCGTGTAATATTTCAACATGAGACAGCTGTCATCTTGTTCAGTGTTGGACAGAGACATGACCACAATTGTGTCAAAATGAAAATATCTCACCAAAAGCACAGCCACTGCCACGTTTAGTTGGAAGTGTGCAGCCACGCCTCACCTCAGGAATTTCGAGTGTACATTTGGGTTCAGCTTACAGGGACCAATCATGGTCGTCAAACTGATGATTAGAACTGGTAAGTTTATATACTGAAAAATTCCTAATGCATCAAACAGGAGTAAACTCTTACGATTATCGTCACTACAGTTCAGACGGCATGTTTTCGATCTTTGTTCAGCTCACAAGCTAATTAGAGTTCGCGCGAGTCTGATTGCACTAATGTCCTTCAAATGGTTCATTGGATCACTAGAGGAGTGAAGATCTTATTGTCAAAACCAAAGACTGATTTACGTAAGAGTTTCACCTTCACGGCGCTTATTCAAAGTTAAAAAAACACGTACCACTTTGTCACATGCTCAGTTCAGACACAGTATTTCCAGCAGGCTATTAAGGTAAAGGGACTAGCGCTCTCGAGGCTGATAGATAAGTAGGTGATGTTGGTTAATTACTGTTGCTGGAAATCGATCTCCGTCTTATATATTCATGAATGTTAATATTGGAACGTATTTGAATGGCGATGTTAAAATTTTATCTCACTATGCCTTATGCGGACGTAATAAACTCATACTCATATACAGGATGGCGAAAAATGACGAGTGCCTAGTGCCTAGTACCTAAATCCGTTTTAAATTATTTTAAAACAAATAAGCATATTTGCTGAAGTCAAAATATCTATATTGGGGACAGTACTAGACAAATTTTATATTCTAACAGAATCGCACTTCGATCCATAAACTCATAACAGCGATTCACTTTCTTTGGTCCGAAATTGATTCCTATCAGACGGAGAACCTCGTAGCGGATCTGAACCCTGAGTTTGCATGTATAGGAAGAGATAGAGCAGCAACCAAGAAACCAAATATGAAATTCGTGATGACTTTGTGAAACAAACAAGGCTGAAAATATGGGTAAATTCAGACGACTACCTCCGCCGTATCAATGACTGCATGAGGGAACGAGCTAAGGCCTGTATAAACTGACGACAGTAACCTCGGAAATTCTCTATAAGTGTAAAGTGCACTGGTCCATACTTCCATAGAAGTAATTCCCTTGAAAGCAAATGAG